TTATTTTGCGTTAGTGGGAGGAAGGAGAAAAAGAAATATAGGAGTTGAGAATGGAATAAGAGAAATGAATATAGTAGTAGTGAGTGGAAGGAAAGAAAGAAATATAAGAGTAGAGGGAGGAAAGAGAGAAAGAATACAGGAGTAGCTGGAAAAAGGAGAGAAAGAATTATAGGAGTAGTGAGAGGAATGTGAGAAAAATATAGCAGTAGTGGGAGGAAGGAGAGAAAGTGTGAGGAATAAGAGAAATAAACATAGTTGTGGGAAGAAGGAGAGAGCGAAATATAGGAGTAGTGGGAAGAAGGAGAGAAAGGAATATAGGAGTAGTGGGAGGGGGGAGAGAAAGGAATATAAGAGTAGTAAGAGGAAGGAGAGAAAGGAACATAGGAGTAGTAAGAGGAAATTGAAAAAAGAATATAGGAGCAGTGAGATGAAGAAGAGAAAGAAATATAAAAGTTGTGGGAGGAAGGAGAGAAAGGAATATAGGAGTAGTGGGAGGAGGGAGAGAAAGGAATATAGAAATAGTAGGAGGAAGGAGAGAAATATAGGAGTAGCGGGATAAAGGAAATAAAATAAATAGAGGAGTAGTGGGAGGAATGTGAGAAAGGAATATACGAGTACTGGGAGAAATGAGAAAAAGAAATATAGGAATAGAGAGAAGAAGGAGTAGTGGGAGGAAGGAGAGAAAGTAATCTAGGAACATTGAGAAGAAGGAGAGAAAATTATAAACTAGTGGGGGAAGGAGAGAAAGAAACATATGAGTAGTGAAAGTAAGAAGAGAATGAAACTGAGGGGTTGTGGGAGGAAGGAGAGAGAAATATAGGAGTATTGGAAGGAAGGAGAACAATAAACATAATAGTTGTGGGAAGAAGAAGAGAGAAATATTGTAGAGAGACGAAAGAGACAAAGAAATATAGGAATGGTGGGAGGAAGAAGAGTAAGAAATATAGGGGTAGTTGGAGGACGGAGAGAAAACAATATAGGAGTAGTGGGAGGAAGGAGAGAAAGAAATATAAAAGTAGTGGGAGGAAGAAGCGAACGTAATAAAGTAGTGGGAGGAAGAAGATAAATAAATATAAGGAGTAGCTGTAAGAACGAGAGAAAGAAATACAGGAGTAGTGAGAGGAAGGAGACAAAGAAATATAAGATTAGTGGGTGCATAAGGCAAAGAAATATAAGATTAGTGGGTGCCTAAGGCAAAGAAATATAAGATTAGTGGGTGCATAAGGCAAAGAAATATAAGATTGGTGGGTGGATAAGGCAAAGAAATATAAGATTGGTGGGTGGATAAGGCAAAGAAATATATTTGTAGTGGGAGGAAGAAGAAACAAAAGCAATGAAAAAATTGTCGGGAAAAGTACATGAAACAAACAAAGAAACGCAATAGATTCTAAATATTTCTTTGTTTTAAATGGAATTTAAGATATATCTTCGGTTTTAGTGGCCTACAAAAAAAAACACAAAAGGACATTAAAAGAGAAACGGAAATTCTCATCCTTATAATAAATGCGCCAAAAGCAAATATATCTGAGTAAAAATATATATAAAGCCCAAAACGCAAAGGACACCTAAAAGGAAAAACTGAAAAAAGTTATAAAATGAATATTAAAATTTCCTAAACCTAGGAAAAAAAAACTGACACTAAGAAACTAACAAATATCAAAAGAAACATTAAGTAAAAAAAAAATATTGACAAATGCAGAAGTCGATGACATTAGAAACACTATTAAAACAGAATCGCATATTGATTTACAGAATAGTGGAACTGAAAATATGGAAAATGTAAAAAAAAAAAACACAAGTCGATATAATGAATAATAATAAAAATTGAAGTCCAATAAAAAGATATTGAAAAATGGACAAAGAAAATTAGGAAGAAGAAAATCAATTAAGATAAGAAGAGAACGACACAGATAATGAAGATGTTGAAAAAGGAAAACAAAAACGAAAGTTAATAAAAAGACAACGCCTTAAATTGGAAGAAATGGTGGAATTGGACCAAATCTGATAAAAAAAAAAAAGATGGAAACCATTATTAAAATAGCAATCATTGAAATAATAAACGCTATTGATCACAATTTAACCAGTTTAAATGAGGTAATACACTCTACAGTAACAGTAATAACGTTAATACAACAAACAAGAAAAATTAAGGCTATGCCACAGAATAAAAATGAAGAACCATTATAAAAAGATAGAGAAAAGATTGAAATTCTACGAAAGGAATAATTAGTTTTAAATGAAATATCAACAAGTACAAAAGGAGAAATTAGGGCATTATTACGAGTAAAGTGTAAATATTGCAAAAAAAAAAAAAAAAAAAAGAAGGAGAAAATGTTATGTCAACTATGAAAGCGATAGTAAAGCAAAAAGATTTGACTAACAAAACAAATTCAAATATGAAACAAACAATCGTACAGGAAATGGTGAAAATAATGAAGAAAAAAAAACAGAAACAAAGATAAAAAACGCCATCTGATGAAGAATTGAGAAAATTCTGGAATAATATGCAGAATTATATAAAAGATGCAGTATGAATAGTGGGTTTGGTTTGGTTTGGTTTGGTTTACGGCATATCAACCTCAATGGGTTATTTAATGCCGACAATTTTTATTGCTGGTAATATTTTTTTTTCAAAAAATATTTTGTGGTAATCATTTTTTACAAAAGTATTTCTGGTATTAAAACCTATTTTTACACTTTCATAGTGTTTTGATCCCAGATTTGAGGTTAACTATTTGCCCATAGCTGGGACCCTAACAGGTGCTACAGCCAGAGTGAAACTGGAAACACCAGTAATTGAGGTGGTTCCACGCAACTTAAAACCTTCTGACCAAAGGCCTTGCTGTCGGACATAGTTTATCGTCATACCAAGGACGAATAAATAGTGGGAAACTAATCCTAAACCACCTTAATGGGGATATCAAATGTGACAACGTACAAATCAGTAGAGGAATAATTCAAAGAGATTCCATTTCGTCTCTTTTGTTCTATAGAATATTAATATCAAATAAAATAAATACTACCATTTATGGTTATCATATATGTGATATCGGATTCATTAATCACTTATTCTACATGAATGACTTCAAACTGTTTCCGAAAAATGATAATCAGTTTGAAGGTTTGTTAATAATAAAATGTAAGTAACTATATCGTCATGGATTTTGGTCTAGAAAAATCTGCTAAGGCAGCCTTCAAAATTGGCGAATTCGTACGAACAAAGAATATAAAAAATGACAAATTTTGATTCATAAATGAGAACAACATGCAGATAAGTATCTTTGTGTAATTGAAAAACAAACAACAGAACATAGAAAAATTAAGAACGAATGTTTTAGGTGAATTAATATGTTACTTAAAACCGAATTAAATGTAAAAAAAAAAAGTTATCACCTTAGCAATACCTGCTTATACATATACTTTCACTTGAATTCTAGAGGAGACATACAGTGCCAAAAGGTTTTGAAAACACCTTACTACATATAATACACATTACAAAGCAAATGCAAGCCTTCTATACTTACCTAGGGTAGATTGAGGGTATGGAGTGACTCAACTGGAATTCACATACAAGGCTAGATTCATAGGTTTTGAAAGAGATTATTAATTAACCAATACTAAATTTTGTTTGTCAGCATAAATCCAATAAAAAAGCTACATTCAATGATGAAAGAAAGCCAAACATTCAAATATGATCAACAGATGTTGAAAGAAGATAAAATAGGAAGTGAACTACCAAAAGTAGTGTCAAAAACATCAACAAAAAAAAGGCAAAAAATAAATACCTAACTTATCTGAAAAACAAAGTGGAAAAAAAAAAAAAAACCTTACATGGCCGATAACCCTTTGGGAGCACAAGACCAATGTTGACTAAAATCTGACCCATCAGTGGTTGCCAAGATCTGAGTTGAAACCTGAACCAGGTGGATTCATTTTAACCCCTCAAGATCAAAGCCTACCAACAAAAGATCTTAACAGACACATATCTTAATGAATGGGACAGATTGTAACATCAAAGAAATTATTGGTTATTTAATATCAGTGTTCTACCCTAGCCCCGAATAAATTTAAATATAAACATGATATAAATATGATGCTCACATTGGAAGTTAAATAAACATTAGAAATTGAACTACCCATTTCTTGCCAAATTGACTTGTTGGCTGGAATTTTAAAGGAACTTTTCCCAATAATAATAATAAACATTAGAGTTTGGTTTGGTTTGTTTTGTTTTACGGAATATCAGCCTCAATGCGTTATTTAATGCCGAAAAAAATTTTTATTGCTGGTAATATTTTGTTTTTTCGAAAATCTATTTCTGGTAATATTTTTCCTTCAAAAATGTATTGCTGGTTATATTTTTTTTCAAAAATGTATTGCTGGTAATATTTATTTTTAAAAACATTGTTGGTAATATTTTTTTCAAAAATGTATTGCTGGTAATAGGTTTGTTTTCTTCAAAAATTATTGCTGGTAATAATTCTTTAAAGTGTTTCTGATATTAAAACCTTTTTTTTACACTTTCACAGTGTTTTTACCCCACTTTCGGGGTTAACTATTTGCCCATAACTGGGACTCTAACAGGTGCTACCACTCTGTGGCAGGGTGGACCTGGGTACATCAGCAATTAAGAGGTGGTTCCACGCTCCTCAAAATCTTCTGATTAGAGGCCTTGCTGCTGGACGTAGTTTATCGTCTTACCCAGGACGCAGATGTAGTTTATCGTCATACACAGGACATAATAAACACTAGGGAAACTGTTGACCATTTAATATCTAGAATATCTACCTTAACCAAAAAATGAATTTAAATATAGACATAATAGGGTAGGAAAATACATCCTGGAAGAGATTTATACAAGAATCAGGAAAAAAAAAACTTACCATGTATAATACACACTGCCACAAAGCAGGTGCTGGTTGACTATTACCTACCTTGGGTTGGTCATGGGATAGATTGAGTACAAAATCCTAGGAAACTATTGGTTATCTGATATCAATGTTCTACCTTAGTAAGGAATGAATTTAAATATAAACATGAGAGGGTAGGGATGTTACAGTTTTTTTTTGTGTATATATATATATATATATATATATATATATATATATATATATATATACGTGACTAGTGAGCGAGTCAAAATGACTTAATTCCCTTTATAGTCTACCAATAGAAGGTTGACCAATCAGAAGCCGCAGAACATTGTATCCGTCTTGTATAAAGGCGGCCATCTTTGTGTTCCTACCGGAATGACCAGAGCCAACTTGTGAGGCGAACATGACAGACGGAAGAACTACGCTCTGCTACTTTCCTGCGATATCCACTGCGAACCTGCACTACGCATTCCTACTGTCTCCGAAATATTCTGCCAACCTCTGGATTCTATACTGAAGACGACCGTCAAATGTCTAACAAGGGAAATATGAGAGAGGGTATGGATATATAAGAGAGTACGGAAACATGAGAGAGTAGGGAAATGAGAGAGAGTACGGAAATGAGAGGGTAGGGAAACATGAGAGGGTAGGGAAATATGAGAGGGTTGGGAAACATGAGAGGGTAGGGAAATGAGAGGGTAAGGAAACATGAGAGAGCAGGGAAATGAGAGAGAGTAGGGAAATGAGAGGGTAGGGGAACATGAGAGGGTAGGGAAACATGAGAGGGTAAGGAAATATGAGAGGGTTGGGAAACGTGAGAGACGAGGGAAATGAGAGAGTAAGGAAACATGAGAGAGTAGGGAAATGAGAGAGAGTAGGAAAATGAGAGAGTAGGGGAACATGAGAGGGTAGGGAAACATGAGAGGTAGGGAAATATGAGAGAGTAGGGAAACCTAAGAGGGTAGAGAAATATGAGAGGGTAGGGGAATATGAGAGGGTAGGGAAATGAGAGGGTAAGGAAACATGAGAGAGTAGGGAAACATGAAAGGGTAGGGAAATATGATACAGTAGGGAAATGAGAGAGTAGGAAAATGAGAGGGTAGGGAAATGAGAGGGTAAGGAAACATGAGAGAGTAGGGAACCCTGCGAGGGTAGGAAAATATGAGAGGGTAGGGAAATATGAGAGGGTAGGGAAATGAGAGGGTAAGGAAACATGAAAGAGTAGGGAAACATGAGAGGGTAGGGAAACATGAGAGAGTAGGGAAACCTGAGAGGGTAGGGAAATATGATACAGTAGGGAAATGAGAGAGTAAGGAAATGAGAGGGTAGGAAAATGAGAGAGTAGGGGAACGTGAGAGACTAGGGAAATGAGCGGGTAGGGAAATATGAGAGGGTAGGGAAATTGGAAGATATAGCAACATTGTAAACTTCCCCATGCAGGAACGTCATACGGGCACAAACTAAATCGTTTCTGACCTTAGGTGTCTGCTTGGGACCCAGAAAGAAATGTGTATACATCAGAAATCAAAGAAAGTAAAATATAATAATAGTGATTATGCGGCTTCCCTGTGTCTTTTCTATAAATATTTTTATAGAAATGGTTCTAATGAGCTCTTCTCCTTGGGACCTGGAGTACATGAATTTAAGCGTGTTACTGGATTTTACTGTTGAAATTGCTAGATGCAACCTTAAGTTCTATTCTAATAGTTCTCTCATTTCTTGCTTCATTTCTGGTTTCTTGCTTCTTTGCCACCTACAATCTTCCCAAATCTAAATCGCAATTTTCTGTCTTCCTGAACCCTTTTACTTTATCGTCCTTTTCTCTCATCTCCTCACTAAAGTATTCTCATTCTCTTTCACTCCCTGTAACTACTTGCTTGCGTGCTAGTAGCATTATCATCTTACATGCAATAAAATGTTTAGATAATAATAATAATAATAACAACAACAACAACAACAACAACAGCGATGATGATGATGATGATGATGATGATGATGATGATGATGATGATGAAATCGAAAATGTGGCACATCAACAATTTGGAACTCACGGATTGGTTGTAAAAAATTCCAATAGACACATGGAAGGGATTCCTGGTAGCTCATGTCCTAAAGAAATACAAAAAAAATTGTTCTCAGGAGTACAGCCCACACCTTAAAAAGGGCTTTATCTATGTAAAATGTTTGTGTTTTTTTTTTGTTTTTTTAATTGGTCAGTGGAAAATGTCATGTCTCTGAGCGGGACCCGGAAAAAAATGTGGACACACCAGAAAGCAAAGAAAATAATAATAATAATAATAATAATAATAATGATAATAATGATAATAATAATAATAATAATCCGATGTCACAACAGTTATGATCTTTAAACAGTTTCTGACCTTGTGATCTTTATTGATTAGAGATATTAACCTCTATGTTGTTTTGGTGAAGATAGGCTCAAGCATTGTGGATCTCTGTCCATGAGTAGTAGTTGTAGGGATCATCAGCTATGGAGAAGATTTGTCGAAAGGTGACTTGGGAGTCCTGCCTAGATACCTGGGAACACCTTCAATAGGAGACTATCTGAGCAGACTGGGTTACCCGACTTGAAAATATTTCAAACTGGGACCTACCTGTAAGGTTATGCACCGCTGTTATCAAAGTCCGTCACCATATCGGACACATTTGTCTATGATGCAAGTCCCTGGTGAACCACTTATTAGATTCGGTGTCCTCATAGGCATATTAGGCTTTTATCAATTTAAACGTTATTTTTTAGTGGAATATTGTCTTATAAGTGCAAATTCTACTCAGATTCTCGAACGTTCATATCTGCCCGGTTTCGCATCCTTACGTAAACAAAGCAATGTCTAAAGAAGTAATGGAGTTTTAACTTATTAATTCGACAGATGTTATAATTTTCAATTAGAAACATATAAATTATTTTCGTTTACCGGTCTGAATATTCAATATACCTTATTAATGAAAAGATGTGACCTCCGGTAGGATTCGCACCTGCATCTACCTAGCCGGGGAAACCGTCGTTAGATACGACATGTTTTAGATCAACTCAATCATGAACGGTTTTATCGATCGAGCAAAGGCGAATACTGCCTTATAACTGCAAATTCTGCTCAGATTCTCGAACGTTTATATCTGCTGAGTTTCGAATCCTAAGATAAACAAAGCAATTTCTAAAGATGTAATTTTTTTTATTTTATTTATTAATCCGACAGATTTTATCAGCTTAATTCTTCTTTTTTTTTTTGTGGATATGCATATTCGAGTAGACGAGGTGATAAAATCTATGGCGATTAGTAAATAACAAAAAACCATTACTTCTTTAGATATTGAACTTTGTTTATTTGTACCGCGTGTTGCTCTCTTAAAAACAACAACAACAACAACAACAATAATAATAATAATAATAATAATAATAATAAGAAGAAGAAGAAGAAGAAGAAGACGAAGAAGAAGAAAACATCGCTGTTCTCTGCAATATTCACATGTCAAGGAGGACCCTGTCCATCAAATGAATCAATCACACCCAGATGATAGCCCCCAAGACAAACGTAGGAACTCACATCCATGAGTGAAGAAAGCCTTTCATTAAGAAAAAATACCCTGAACAACAACAACAATAATAATAACGACAACAACAACAGCAACAACAACAACGACAACAACAAGAGCAATAATAATAATAATAATGATAATAATAATAGAAAAAATGAAAGTTATGTTAGAAACGTTCATTGCCCCACCACAAAAATGACGGGGAAAGCAAGAGAGAAATGAAAAGAAGGATCGAAGCGGATATATTCTTGAAGACCAAAGAAGACAAAACATGAAGCGATGAAAAAAAGGGACACCAATCAGAAAATGATTATGAAGCCAGTGCAATTTGAACTTCTTTTTGCATTACGAGAGAAATTATGCATTTGTCGCACGAACTAACTGCACTTTTAGGGCGGATTTCAGAGTAGCCAATTTTTTCCCTGTTAAACAATCGGATGTGTAATTTCCTGATATGCACCTTTCATATTACAGAAAATGGATCAGGCAGATCTATTATTGGAGCATTTTCCTTGAGAGTTTAACACCATTTTTTCATTTTCTCTTTCATTACATCCTTATTTAGTTATTTATTTCTATTGTACTACATTTTACTGCAACATTTCTTTCTTTCCTTCCTTCTTTCTTTCCTTCTTTCTTTCTTTCTTTCCTTCTTTCTTTCTTTCCTTCTTTCTTCTTTCTTTCTCTCTTTCTTTTCTGTTTTCATTTGTTTTTCTTTCAATTTTTCTTGTTTTATTTCTTTCTTACATTCTTTGTTTCTTTATAATTTTCATAATTACTTATTCCCTGTCTTTTTTTGTTTCTTTTTTGATTTTTTGTTTGTCTTTTTTCCAGCATTTCATTCCTAATGTTTGTTTTTCGGTGTTCTTTCTTTCTTCTTTTTATTTTTTATTGTTTGTTTTATTTTTTCTACCAGAGTTTCATTATTTTCCGTGTTTTGCATTTTTCTTTTTTCCTTCTTTTGTTTGTTTGTTTCTTTCTTTCTTTCTTTTGTTCCATCCTTCTTTCATTTTCCTTCTTTCTTTTTCTTTCTTTTCTTTCTTTTCTTTCTTTCTTTCTTTCTTTTGTTCCTCCTTTCTTTTTTTTGTTTGTTTTTTTTTATTTTTATTGTTTGATTTATCTTTTTCTTCCAGAGTTTCATTATTTTTCCGTGTTTTGCATTTTTCTTTTTTCCTTCCTTCTTTCTTTCTTTCTTACTTTATATCTTTTTGTTCCTTTTCTTTCATTTTCCTTCTTCCTTTCATTCTTTCTTTCTTTCTTTCTTTCTTTTATTCCTTCTTTTTTGTTTCTTTCTTTCTTTTTGCACCATCTTTCCTATTGTTTATAATTTCTTTCATAAATGGTTATATCTATTTTGTGTTGCAATTTCCTCATAACGTCTTCAATGTTATTTTTCTTTCCCTCGAAACCCTTTTCCCCCTTCATTCCTTCCTTGTCAAGAGACTTGCGATGCTGATTCCTTCCTTTTCCTGTTCCCGCCATTCATTCATTGCCGTTCATTCAACAATATCTTTTCTATCATTTGCATATTTCATTTCACACTCAGTGCTAATAACATGCGTTCGTTAAAATGTAAGAAGGTTGGAAATTGGTGGAACACACAAAAATATCAAGGCGTTTGCCTTTTTCGACGTTCGAAATTTATGTTCTCATAAGCTGTCATATAATGCCTAGCGCCCAGAAAGAAGACAATTATGATATATCAAACGTATATTAGCTGTTTTTTTAGCTAATGGTGGACTTCTGGAACGCTTATCGATGCTTTTGAAGATATCTTACAAACGGGGTATTACTGAGATCTTCTGAAAGTGATCGAGTGCTAGTAGGTCGTTTCACACTTAAAGTGTTCTTCTACCAGTCATTATAACTTCTGAAACAAAAGTAGAGCAAAACAGAATGGATAAAAATATATATATATATATATATATATATATATATATATATATATATATATATATATATATTGAACAATAAGGAAAAAAAAATTAAAAAATTAAAATCATTCGACACACTGGGTTGTAGATTAATATTCTTTCGTTTTTATTATTATTATTCCATTTAGATTCCTAATATATATATATATATATATATATATATATATATATATATATATATATATATATATATATATATATATATATATATATATTTTGTTTTGAACAGTAAAAATATTAAAAATCTTCAGACACACTGGGTTGTATATTAATATTTTTTCGTTTTTATTATTTCTATTAGATTCTCTCTCTCAGTCTCCCCCTCTCTCTCTCTATCTATCTATCTATCTATCTATCTATCTATATATATATATATATATATATATATGCTAGGCTAAGTAAAAAATTATTATATATCTGTATGTGCAGATTTATGTACTTTTTTTGTATGTATATATATACATACATACACACACACACACATATATATATATATATATATATATGTATGTGTATATATACATATATATGTATGTATATTTAATTTCTATATATATTATTAAAAATATTTATATTTATAAGGGTGTGGATCATAATTCCGAATCTTAAAATTCCGAAATTTGAAATCCCGAATTTATAAACACCTGCAAGATCAATAATACCAAAATTTAAATTCCTGAAATTTCAGAACCCCGAAAAAGAATCTTTAGGAGAAAAAAAAATATAATGAAAACATCTTTATTTCGAAACATTTGCAAAATAGCGTTTAAATAGTATTTACACGTTTGAAAACTATAAAATTGATTAAAAAATGTAAAACCAGAAGATGTCATAGGCGATGGGAAAATTTAATAGGCAATGATCATGTCGGTGTTTATCGCATTTATTGGAAAGTTTCAAAAAGATCAACCGCATTTATAGGAAACAAAAGATCAACAGCATATAGGAAACGTGAACGCATTTTGTCCGAGGAGTGTCGTGTCGTGTCTAAAAAGAAAAGAAAAAAGCATTTAAAAGTTTCAAAAGATCAACAGGTGTTTTTTCGAGGAGGTCGCATTTATTGAAAAGTTTTCAAAAGATCAACAGCATATAGGAAACGAAAGTACTTAGTGAACGCATTTTTCCGAGGAGTGTCGTGTCGTGTCTAAAAGAAAGTTTCAAAAGAAAATATAAAATGTCGAGGAGGTCGTCGTGTGTTTATCGCATTTATTGGAGAGTTTCAAAAGATCAACAGCATATAGGAAACGAAGGTTTTTAGTGAACGCATTTGTCCGGTGTTTATCGCATTTATTGAAAGGAGCATATGTCGTGTCGCATTTGTCTAAAAAAAAAAAAAAAGAAAATGTCGGTGTTTATCGCAATTTATTTGGTTTATCGCATTTATTGGAAAGTTTCAAAAAGATCAACAGCATATAGGAAACGAATGTACTTAGTGAAATTTTTCCGAAGGTGTCTTCTAAAAAGTGAAAATGTCGGTGTTTACGCATTTTTGGAGAGTTTCAAAAAAGTCCAGCATATAGGGAAGCATTTGTCGAGGAGTCGTGTCGTGTCTAAAAAAAAAAAGAAAATGTCGGTGTTTATCGCATTTATTGAAAGTTTCAAAAAGATCAACAGCATATAGGAAACGAAAGGTACTTAGTGAATGCATTTGTCCGAGGAGTCGTGTCGTGTCGTGTCTAAAAAGATAAAAGAAAAATGTAGGTTTTATGTCGTGTCGTGTCTAAAAGTAAAGAAAATTAAAAATATAGTTAACGATCGTGAAAACCGACCAGATCTTATGGAGTATCTTAGGGCTCTTGGTCATAAGCTTTCATTACAAATTATTCATATATTCTGGTTTTATATATTTTAATGAATTTTTAATGTTTCAAGTATATAAACACTATGCAAACGCTATTTTGAAAATGTTTAGAAATAAAGGGATTACCCGACAAGTTTTTTTCAATTTCCCCCAAAGTTTACTTTTCAGGATACTGATCTTTCAGGATTTTAAATTTCGGCATTCTGGTCTTTCGGGATTTTGATACATTTGGGATTTGAAATTTCAGGACTTAAGCATCCTATATATATATATATATATATATATATATATATATATATATATATATATATATATATATGCATGCACGTGCCTATCTTGTTATTAATAATACAGTGGATACCTTGACAGTATTTAGACTTGAAGACATAATAACCATTTGTGCAAATGTTTCTAAAAATAATGAATATAGTTTTGATATAATACTCATATAATAATAATCTGTCTTCATATATATATATATATATATATATATATATATATATATATATATAGAGAGAGAGAGAGAGAGAGAGACGTGTATAGAGGGTCTAAAGTTTATCTTTTTCTGAGTTGTGACGCTGTGAAACGTAATTGTTCTGTCTTTGTAACCAAGTCAGTGAGCACTCTTTTTTTACTCTTTATGTAGGCTAGACGTCTGTATTTTAGTCAACATTTTTTTTCTATCCCTCGTTTTCTTATATTTTTCATGGATTCCTTTTATTATTTTCTTGTTTTTACGTTTTTAAATAAATTTCATTTTGATTACCTGGCAGGCTTTCTGTTAATTTTACCAATACTTTGTTTTTTTAGATATATATATATATATATATATATATATATATATATATATATATATATATATATATAGAGAGAGAGAGAGAGAGAGAGAGAGAGAGAGAGATCCTGTAATCCAAACACAGATAGATAGATAGATAGATAGATAGATAGATAGATAGATGTTCTAGATTTATGAATGTTGAACTGCATATTCAGTTCTACTTGTATTTTGCAATTCGATATCTTTTACGACCAGCTTGAGACCTCCACATCATTCCACATACAAGACAAAGAACAGTCCACTTTGTACATGGTTGTTAGTGCTGTGAATTGTGTTTTTCATAGATGTTCACTGTTTGGACTTTCCATATCGATTAGAATATCCAATCTCCAGAATCGGACATATTCAAATCTCACTAATATTGTCTTTAAGACCAAAAAAATCTAACATTTACTTAATGCCGACCCACTTCCCATAATCAGATATTAAAAAAAAAAACAAACAAAAAAAAAAAAAAACATCAGAATTTTAAAATCCCTTTATGCCCGAGCCAAAATCAGTTCAGCACTCTTCGTATAAAGGACTTGAAATGCAAAACGGTACAAACAGTGCCATATTATTACTCCAGTTCAAATGCACTTCAAAACTTAACCATTTGTTTGTTGGAGACATTTCGCAGTGAGATCATTTCTTAACGATTCAGGACCTAACAATTGCAAATACCGGATCAAGATGAGTTGAATAATGCCTTTAAAGAGAAGGTCAACAATCTTCTTAACTTTTCTGCGGTGGTCGACAAAGAAAAATCGGTCAGCTGTGGCAAGAAGAGGGCTGCAGAGATGAATTGTTTATTGACCGACTATCGACAAAGAAACAATCAGAGGTTTTTGTGCAATGAGCAACGGGAGGTCTAAAGAAACCTTCGATTTGCATTTGGACATAAAGAACACTTCCGTCTTTGTTTTCTTATACTCGAATGAACGGGCGCTTATGGGAAGATGTTCAGTTTTAAAAGCCGAAATATAAAGGTCACATTAGAAAGAATAAGAATGCAGAACCCTCAGTCCATTAATACTGAAAAACAAACAAGGCAGACTTGCCTTTATATCTTCCTGTTTGACCAATACAAGTTACATAAATTATTGGTCATATCACTGACATTTTTGTTATCGTAGGATAATCGAGAAATATTTTTAAGAATCGAATTAATTTTTAACAGCATAATTTCGAATAGCTGTTTTTATTGGAGTAGTTAAAGTGAAGTTCTTGGGTGGGGAGTTCAGAATTCTTTTTGAAAATCATTTCGTCCCAAACAAGGTAATAAAGCCACAAAGACGGAAAAAGTTACTGAGTGTGAGAAAATATGGGAAAAAGAAAACCTTATTAAGGAGAGAGAACAATAAAAGAAGAGGAATTAAAAAGACAGAAGATAACGATTGACATTGCGTTTCCATTTTTGAAGCTCAAAGTTGGTTAGGAAGCAAGAGGCCAGAAGAAAATTCCACAAGCGTCAAGTGCGAGAGAAGAAGCTTTTATGACAGAGCTTAAAGTTATATCTAGTCATTTCAGCTGTAAAAGTATGAGACCTTGCCGCCAATCTAGTACTGCGCTTAAATACATAAAACCTATGTAATATAGAGTAAAGTTCACCTGGATAATTACCATGAAAGTATTTACAGAAAAGACACAGGGATGCTACATAACGCTGGTGAAAAATTAATGAAGTTTAGATGCCAGGTAAGGACCAATAACAGATGTTGTTGTTTTTGCTGTTGATTATGAGGATGTTGGTTGAAGTCTAGATGGCAAATAAGGACGAATAACATTGCAAATTCTTCTATGAATTTTATCAAGAATCTCTAAATACATAGCAGAAGAAAACTGTTAGCATAGAACTTACGGTTGCATCTAGCCATTTCAACATGAAAAGACTATGAGACCCAGACAGATGTTGTTGTTGTTGATTATGAGGATGTTGGCTGAAGTTTAGATGCTAGGTACATTGCTTTTATTTGTATTTAGCTGATGACATTATGTTCCCCTATAAAAATTTGGATTACTGTTTTCTGTCTAGATTCTAAGAATGATATAGAATAAAAAACAAAGATAAAAAAGGAAACAAAACGGAATTTACTTGCCGGAATTTTAAGCTCTCGAATATATATAAAAAAATTGACTGATTACAAATATTCTGAAAACGCTTTTTCATCGCTCAAATAATTGTGTATTTTACTACATTGTCTGGTATCGGTTTTCGAGCTACGGATTTCACACTCTGATTATGAAATAGAAGAAAAGAAAATCATTTGGAAAATAAAACACAATCTTGTTAATTCCTTCCTTCATTTTGTCTTAATTCCGGACCAAAATAATATTTTGTAAATATCAAAGAAACTACTAGCAATGAGGTGGACAGTTTTACAATGCGACCCTCTGTCTCGTTCTTGTGACATTGTCAAAGATTAAACTAATTTAATATTAATTTTTACGCAATCCAAAACTCCAGAATCACTAATGGTCGTGGGTTATTGTTAAAAAGGTAATATGTTTAAGATATGAATGAAATAGGAGGGGTGACAGTAAGTAAAGAAAAGTAACGTAAAGAGGGTAGATATGATTAACCTTTCATATGAGGAGGTTAAGCTTGCAATGATCGGGGAAGAAGTCAGGTGGAATCTGGCAGTTCTGGGGAAAACAAATCTCCGAGAAACTTTCTTCGACCATTTGGAAAACGGAGGAAATGAGATTAATTCGTCGCCGTGGAAATGGAATGGTGTGTCCAAACAGTATAAATGGTGCCATGGGTACATTGTC